AACATGGATTGAAAGTGAACCTCGGATGACAGAATGCGCTGGATATGTGAGTTAGTTGAGAATAAAGAGTATGAAAAAAAAATTCAAGTGTCTTCTTGGGTAACATTTTACCTTCTTCAACTTAATGTTGATGGTGATTTTGCGCATCCCCAAACTACCCACTTCTTTCATTAGGGACTTTATAAAATTTCATCTCTTGCTTGTCAAGTTTTTTTTCAGACTGATTTTCTCGTAAATTTTCTCTTGATAAGATTGAATTGAAAATGGTTCAAATCATCCATAAGATTCTCATTTGTCACATTTGGACAAGTCACGATAAATGAGTTACAATCTTAAAAAGTAACCAATTTCATGATGATCTGTTTCCAGAAAATCATAAGGTTCTCAACTTCTCACATTTGGTTAAGGCACAATAAATGAGTCAATATTTATTTCTTTATGAAATAACAAGGAAAAACGGTCTGCAACATCATACAAAGATGGAGCAGCAAAGAGGTGAAATATAAGGAAAACCAAGAGAGATAATCAACATCAACCATCAACACATAGGTTGTGCGTCGCAGAACAAGAGGGAGCAAGGGAGCAGCGACCAAAACAAGATGCAACAAATAAAAACAAACACCGTGTGTCATATAGGTAGCAGCAAACAAAAAGGGAAACATAACAATTCATTTGGTTCACAATCAAGGCAGCAAGTCCAGACCAAAAAACAAAAAAGGGAAGTGACAACTGTGAGATGCAAAATGTGGAAAGTAAGTACCCTAGTAAATAAGGGTGCAGGTGCAATCAGAACTCGGGGGATGGAGGTTGGTTAGTGTCTGAGTGTAATTCCGGGGATTCTTCATCAGGAACTGCTTTGTTTTCACCCTTGAGAACATTAACACGTTCCATAGCACTGAGAAGGTGTGCGGCAAGAGCCGGGTGCATACCCCTCGCCGTCAAAGAGGTTTCGGTGAATTGAACGCTAGGGATCAAATTTGTCCAAGACTTGACGCCGGCGCTCTTGAGGATCATTCTAGTGGTATTGTCGTTGTGAGGAACGTTGCAGTGGTCTAAAAAGAGTTCTAAAGCTTCAGCATGAGCTTGGTCCTGGCCCTCTGAGTCTCCAGGCGGGTCGCGGTAAATGACATTTGAACCAGCAGGATCAGAGTCAATATCAGAATGGATGTGACTGTAGAAACTAAGTTGAGAAGATTTGAATTGGCCATCGGAAGGTGGATCCGAAGAGATCACACTGGGTACGCCTTTCCCAACGGCAAAGGGGGAAGCTGAAGAGCAATGGTAAAAAGGAATCAGTCAATTAATATTCTTAAATCCGGATTCACCCCCCCAAATTCCCTGAATCCTGTCACAACGGCAGGGCTTCAGCATTCTGGGGGCAAATCATTGGTGTGGAAATCTAAATCTCACAAGGCTGTTTTTGTCCATAATTGGATTATCTTTGATCTTACAAATTATCTGCAGTTTTCATTTCTTTCAAGATACTTCTATCAACAATACATACACATTCATTTTTACATTATAAATTACAAATAAACAGAAGACATCAAATCCATAAAACACCCAGAATAAAAATCAATTAAATTTAAATGATAATGATAATGAAGCAAAAGTCAATTTAAATGAAAATAAAACATCATCATTGCAAACTTTAAATTCTACAATCTAGTACACCTTCATCTTATTCAATAACTTCACCATCTACAAGTACTTTCTCAATAATCTTCACTTTTACCTATGATTAGTTTGAAAAATCGAATTTAAGAATGCTAAATGGGAAGGAAGATAGTCAAAAACTCTATAGGAATGCTAGAGGAGATCAATGATTGAAACAGAAAGAACATCTAGAAGGACTCAACAAAAGAATCTTTGGAAAAATCGATTTTTTTCGATTTGTAGATGAAATAAGATGAAGAGGATGAGAGGGGCTGGGCTGGATCAATTGATGGAACCAGAGGTAGCGAGGCGATGGTGATGGTGGGCGTTTCGCATCGGAACGACCTAAAATCGAAGCGTTTCGATCGGAACCACCTAAAAACGATGAAACAAGAGAAAATGAATAAAAACAAAAACAATTCAATTAGACATCAAGAAGAAGTTAGAAGAAAGGAATGAGAGAAACAAAAGAGAGACTTACTTAGGTTTGGATAGGTTTGAGGGAGAGAGCGAGATCTCAAGTATAAAAGGGGGATCTTATCGTATCGTAGTTATCGTATTGAAGTGTTGTAGAGTTTTTTTTCTTTCTTTTGACCGTTATCGAGTGGAACTCCTAGTTAGAAAGGAGCAACCAAAGAAAAAAGATAGAATCTTATCTTGTTAATTCTTCGCATCATTAGTGTAGGACGAGTTAAAAGAAAGGTCTTTAGTTAAAAAAAAAGACTCAATGATTTCTTAATTATAAGGGTCAGTAGAGGTGTTATCGAAGATTTTGAATCCCTTACACTGGGAATTTCGATTTTATTTTTATTTTTTTATTTTACTTAAGCTATCTTAGGGGTTTTGTCCTAAGGTAGTAAGGGGTATTTGGGCAATTACAAGTGTAATTGGCTGGGTTTTGAAGCCACTAGGGTGTGTAGGGTAGATTTAGGATCAGTAGAAGTTGAAGAACAAGGTTTAGGAGGAAAATCAAGGTTTTTTTATTTTTTTACTTGCTACGGGAAGGTTTTTGAAGAACTGCATTGGGGAACGTAGTAAAAAACAGCTTGTTTACATCTGTTTTTGAACCGTAGGACCTTTACGGGGATTCTTAAAGCTGAACTAAAGCCTGTAGATTGGATAATCAAGGTTGGAAGCTTATTTTGGTGGTAGAAAGGTTGGCGAGAAGTGTCTCACTGTATTTTGAGGGCAGCTTAACGGCGTTTTTGGTTACGGCTCTTGGAGGTTTATCCTACTTGGGTTGTTTCTTCCCCTCGAGGCTCTGCCTACGCTCCACAGCGTAGGAGTTCTACATCGGATTTCTCCGCTTCCCACTTGCGGCTCACGTGGGTGTAGCCGTGGGTAGCATGCAACAATGCTGCTCCATATACTCTAATCGTCACCTCTATTTATACTTTGAGCCTCCCCCTATTTTCAAATCTACCGCCACTTCATAAACGTGAAATGCACCATCGTGGGTCATTGTGCTCATTCTTGCCCTACACTGACTTTTTCAAAAGCGCTTCACGTGATTGCAATTAAAAGTTCATCTATTGCGATACAAAACTAAAAGCCTTCCCTCCCTCTTGCTTAGCCCCAATTTATTGTTTGGGTACACTGCTTTATGGTATGCAGAGCTATTCAAAAGCTCATGCTTTTTGAAAACTTTTTTAACAGCTGCACATCATGTTTGCACCTTTTGTGTAGCTTTTTGGCCTACAGTAGGTTCATCCTGCCACCTCCACTCATCAGAACATGCACTCCAAATCTACAGCTTCACGGTAACCAAAGCTATTCAGAAGCTCATACTTTTCAAAGACCTTTTCAATAGATTCAGATCATGTTACCACCTTTTGTATAGCTTTTCGGCCTGCAGTGAGTTCATAGTGCCGTCTGCATTGATAAGAACATGCACTGCCAATCTACAATCCGATCATACTTTTGGTTAGTCCATGACTGATCTCCGACTTTTTATATTCTTTGACCTGTGATAGTTCAAAAGTTCATGAGTTCCTTTTCTGATCACTCATTTTTGAACATCTTTCTCAGTGTACAAGCACTCGGTTATTCATTCTCAAATGCTTCTCCTGTGCTTCGCTGATCCCCATTGACATTCACCATATCCTCCATTGCGAGCCCTCCGCTATCGGAAACGCCCCCTGTGTCACCTATCTTCCTATCTTTGTACACCGGGATGCAATTCTTCCAATGATATGTTGTTCTCTCTTATGTAACTTTGTTTGAAAATTTTCTACACCATACCTGCTCGAAAGAACTAACAATCAGTTATATCCCAACTTCCACACCAAAGGTGCGTATTGGACCCAAATGTTTTGAGGATGTTATTAACGCGTGGTCGCAGTTTGACACCCTTACAGAAACATATCAAATGCCACAATACAAAGACATTGATTGGATTGAGGTGATGCCGGTTCCAAAGCCAGTAAGCCACCTGTTCATAGGAAAGCTTCTAGAAAGAGTTATAAAGCGTTACTACTGTATGTAATTAAATTACCAACACTTGCTGACGTCCATAACACAGAATCAGTAGGGAGGGAATGGCCTTTTCTTGAGAAAGGGACAATATGGATCTCAAAATTAGACGCTTGCTACGGGTACACTGGAGGTACCACAGGGACTGGCGCGGGCTAAGGTGAAAGAGATCTCATAGAATGTTAACCTGAAAACTGTCTGGAGCTACCGGTCATTTTGATAAGTAACGGAACAAGTCCATGAAATAAAATCTGTCACCAAATTGTACCAATATAATGCTATGCAGTGGGGTATTGGACTCCTTTGAGAATGCATCACAACTGTACAAAGAAGAGTGACAAGTTGCAAAAGCGGGTGGGCCCGCCTATTCTCTAGTTAAATGTAAAAGACAATCTATTGGGTCAAAAATCAATAGATGAGACATTACCTGGTTCCTGTTTGACCTCAAACTTCTTAGCTGAAGGGGGATCTGAAGACAAATGAATTGTAATGGCTTTGGACTTGTTTCTTTTTTGGAAGGGGAACCTGCAATGATGACACACAAAAGGTTTGAATGCAAGGCATGAAAGGAGATGTCAGAGGGAAATAGGGTACCTGGTTCATATTTGATTTTTTTGGTGACATCTTCAGGGCGCAAATCAAAAAAAAAAGTATAAGTTTGGGAAGTATGAAATCAAGTGAGACCAATGCGTACCTGGGAGGCATTTGGCTTTATGCTCCTTGTCAGACACACCCAAACCCGCAAAAGATGCTGATCTCTCCGTGGTGGCTGGATTTTGAAATAAAAGTTTGGCCGGATTGTCAAAAAAGGCTTTGCGAGAACCTCCAGCGCCGTGAAAAGTTGGAGACAAGTCAAGCTGCAATTGAGCCCCTCACATCTTCACTCGGTCATTGACGGAGGTATCCTTGTGGTAGACACGGGCTTTATTCATGATGGTGAGATATTCATACGTTCGGGGCGGATTTTCGCAAGTGGCCATGCCGGATTGCTACAATACAAACAGGGTTAGTCCATAGGTTAAAAAAAATAGGATTTATACATACCACGGCTTTGGCCCAGACCCATGCCCCGTTCCAAGTCAAGCAATATAGGAAAGTGGGATCCCATGGGCAAACCAAGATTGCACCGTCTCCGGAGGTGCCCTTTTGAGATTTTTCATCAAAAAGTTGCGCTGTTAACCCGTGGAGGGCAATGCGGTTACGCGCATCCTGTGTCACAAAGGAAATCACTTAGCTGAACATGAGGAAAGGACAAAGGTGGAAGAAAAACAGACACGGACCAAGAAAAGCACATACCTCCAGCTCCTTGGTTAGAACACCCACCTGTGCTTCAGCAGCTGTGGGACCTCTGGCTGAAGCAATCAACTCTTTCGCGGCACAGGTCTGAAATTCATAAGCAGTCAGAAAATATCAGAAAGATGTGAGATCATTATTGAAGGACTTACCTGGGCCACCTTTTTGGCTTTTTCATTTTCATTTTCAGTAAAGATCATCACCGAACCCTTGTGTTTGGTTGCTTTGGCAAGCAAATCAACAAACGCCTGGCAGGTGAGACTATTGAAAATGGTGACCTTTTCACAACCAACTTGACCCAACCATATCAAGCAAGGAGCAATTGGGCTTGAAAGGACCATATGGTGCATGCCCGGTTGGTACTCTTCACAGATATTGCCACACATAGCCTTAAATTTGTTTAAAGACTGGCCAAATAAGCACTTCACCAGCTCGAGGACGTTGCCTT